TATAATTTGCGTTCTCTACCAATGAAATGATAAGGACCGCAATCTATTAAAAAACATTCTTATCATAAGAACAGAGTAGAAGGCGAGATCTTCGTCGAATGTCACATGCCGCATTTTATAATTTGCGCGCTCTACCAATAAAATGATAAGGACTGCAATCTATTAAAAAACATTCTTATCATAAGAACAGAGTAGAAGGCGAGGTACCATTTTCTCGAGTATTATTCCTTCACTATTTCTTTCAGAACTCGAAACGCTTTAGAAAATACATTCAGTTAAACATGAGTATAGCTAAATCATAAAGCTTTATTACTAAGAGATCCAAACTGGGCAAAGTTAACGAAGCGCGAACCATTACAAAACGTTTTGACTATAATGTATATTGTAAACAACCGAATCCTAAAGGCACAACGTCAAAAGAACCAACATTATGCAGCTTCTCGTCCAACGCTGCTGCGTTGAGGAGCCAAACTAGTTGCATTACCAACCTCTGCGCATCTTTGATGCGCAAAATGTTTTTGTTATAGTGACGTAATAATGAATTATCGTTTATAAACAACGACAAAGGCGACCATGAAATTACACATCTGTAATACTTCCTATTAACATGCCCCAACCAATGAAAAAGGCCGTGCAAAATCTAAGCTGGTAGATTGTGCTTTCAGCCAATAAGAACCGATCTACGCCTCACTCGCAGAGGTTAATAAAATTATCATGGGCCATAAGAAGTTATTTACACAAACATGGCTAAAAAACTGCACATACCCACCACGGTGGCTTTTGAATGAATATATAATACAACACTTGGACCATTTGGCGCCAAAATGGCTCGACAAAAGATGAGATTTTCAGGACTGCTGTCTAATAAATATCAAATCAATCTGCTAACTAATTAATATGCAGCTCGTAAAGTCCTCCACTGATCACAAAAATGTAAAGCGCATTGAGACGTTGTATAAATGCGCTATACAAGAGCCAAGCAAAATTTTGGTCGCAGTAGCCTGGGAATGAGAACCGGCGACCCAAACACGCTGTGATTGGGTGAAACAAATTTCATCTCTCAGCTGGATAATACGATGCAACACACGTTATATATTTGCGATATTGTTGTAACGACAAACTGTGATATTTCTAGATCTTCATCTACTGATTTCGGTCCCCGGTTTAGGCGATTGTAAGCATGAATAGGCTTTTTACAGCTCAGTAATCACGTGCTGATTAATTCACTGAGAGCAAATGAATGAACATCTTGATTCCCATGGGTGAACTATACTGGAGAGCAAACAAACTTTCTACAACCTGTTTCGAGAGATCGTATAATAAAACTGCATTTCGTAACACACTGGATACACATCGTTTCATTCAGTTCTTTACAAGTAACTAAGAAGAATCACCAATTTAATATAAATTAATAAAATTTTGCTCACCAGTACAGACACGTGACCGTTAACTGCCCATTGGAGTGCCGAATTGTGGTTTTTGCGGGAGAGAAAACCGGTGAAAAACCAAGAAGTACAGGAGAGAACCAGCAAGCAACTCTACTCACATACGACAACGAGACTAAGAATCGAACCCTGGGCGCCTTGGTGAGAGGTGAGCGCACCGTTAAGCCACCCGTGCTTCCAAGACAACAACAAATTTTGTCATGACGAAATAGAAAACACTCGCGCGTGCTGTGCGCAGTCGTAAAGCACGCGGGGGTTGGCAGAACACGAGAGAAGTGTTAGGAGAAGAACGACACGTAGCAGAGTGCTTCTGGACGCTTATCGAGTTTTCTGCCAATTCCCAGGTGCTTTATGACTGCACACAGCACAGCAAGCAAGTTTTTTATTTCTTTCATAAAATACAAATTACAATAATAGATAGGAATGACGCAACGGAAAGTGCGCGCGCGTGCAATGTGCTCTCATAAAGCACGCGCTCCCAACCAATCAGAACGTGACATTCATAACAGTTATTTTATAATTCACAATAAGGTAGATGTGCGTTACGTGTTACCCAACAGAACGGTTTTTTCCAAATCTACAGTACGTCAAAAAATATTTCGTTATTTGATGAAAAATAATTCAAAATTTATTGAAAAATATTTCAATAGTTCATTATTTGCATGTTCTATGTTAGAGTCGACAGATGAAACTAAAAATGAAGTTTTAGTCGGCGCTTGCGATTTCTTGACGCCAGTTTAAATTATATATAATATTTGTTGTTATTCATAGGTTCATGCAATCTTTAGATTTCTTTATATGTGTTCCTATCAAAGAAGCCTACTTTCTATAGACGGACAAGACAAAACTGTCTATAAATACACGTGCTCTCTCGCGAAAAAATGCTTCAGTCAAAAGAAAAAATAATTAGAAAACTTAGTTTTTGCCTTTTCCAGTTTTGATGTATTTTGAGATTAAAAATGAGGTTGTGGTCGAAACGTCAAATGCTTTTGTCACTTATTTTTCCTTTAAGATGTTAAAAATGGGTACGAAAATTGGATCCAATCGAAATTCAAATGAAACATCCCCCTCCCTCCCCTCCCCTCCATATTTACTTTTATTCATGTCTGCCTTATGCTTTGAAGAGAGAAGTGAAGAGAAAATCGTTGTATGTGTTATTCACGGCCTGATATCCGTTCCTTTATCATGATACCATCCATTATATCGACTGGGGGTAATGCTTTGCTTTTCGAATTACATAGCTTTTTCTACTGTGAACTGTGAACCGAGTGAATCATTACTGCGTTCTTGGCTAAAGAATTCGTTTATCGCTGCTGGACAGTATGCGACTGTCAAAACACGTCATTCATCCTATCGACATCTGCTTGATTATTGCACTGGGAATCCATACGCTTTAAACCTGAACTGTTTATAATAATGTATACGTACGCTAGCTTGCTTCGAGAGAAATTCACTGTAATATATATAAGAAAAGAGAAGAGAAAAGAACTAGAGAAGAGAAGAGAATAATTTGCCAATTGTCTCGTTTAGCCTATGGCTACTACAGCTGGCTTGTACCAATTTTCTGTATTTTTGTTGTTTAGTATGTGTAATTTTGTAATTTTGGTACAAAAATCAAAAGATAAAAAAGAGAAGAGAAGAGAGTTATAGATAGAGCTAGCGAAAAGACCATGCCTCTTCACAGCACTGCAGTTCTTTTTTCAGTCACTAGTCAGCAGTTTTAAAATATGGCCATACGATTCAACGTAGCAACAACAGTATTTAGTAGACGTCGCAAAAAAAAAACTAACCCTCCTACATTGTCAAGCATCTCCAGGACGGCTTCAAAGCAAACAACTTAACAAAAACATGACAAAAAAAGCGTTTTATAGACATTGAGGCAAAGCTTCAATGAAAAAAGAGTGTTTGCACCTTTGTAAGCAACTACAGAGTCCTAAATGTTTTATATCGAGTTACTTCGTAAAGGGGATCAAAACATTATTCTGATCGATCCATATTTGTCTAGATAGTTCAAATTTCGCTATACATATTTTTTTGTCAAAAAGTGTTTTGTTCTCAATGAACAATTTTTTTGGTCTCGTTAAGCGCCTCTCGTTGAAACTGGTTATGGAAACCGCAAATTGAACTGAGAAAAAAACGTTACTTAATATTAGGATCCTTACAAAGTCGAAAAAGGATTCCTTTGTGTAGATATGGTTTAGATTTTGCTATATATATTTTTACTCAAAAAGTCATGTGTTCTCAATGAACAATTTTTAAGTCTATTAAGCGCCACTCGGGAAAGCTTAGTATGAATACTACACTTTCAACTGGGAGCCAAGGAAGTTAACTTTTAAAATGCGTATGAGCTAGAAAACAAGATTCCTTACTTTGCATTCTCCTGATGGAAACTCAATTGTTTTACTGAAAACATAAAAAAGCGAAGAATTGTTTTAGCTTTTCTTCGCGTAAATTGTATTTCCCTGCTTTGTTTTTCGCTGTTCTTTTAGTTTTGCCGAAAAACAGTTGGAAAATCGAATCTGAATAATTTTCATGAGTTACCATTCATTGACTTTTGTTCTGTTTTTGCTAGACTCAGAATAATAATAATATATCTAATAATTCAAAGAAAAAGGTATTGACTTAGTCTGGAAAATATGTACCAAAAAACTGCCAGTCACTCGAATAATATAGATATTACAATATATATTAAGAGATGAAATGGTGACGATAAAAGGAAAAAAAATATGAGTATATATTTATGTAAGTTCTTTTAAATATATGGATAAATAAAGCATCTTCATCGTGCTTTCATATCGATCAAGTGAGTTTAGATAATGGATAAATCTCATAATAATACTACTACCGTGTTTGTGCTAGCCTTACTAAACCCCAATAGACTTTATCAAACAATAGGAATGCGAGTCTCTATCGTATTCTTGAATGGCTCTTATTTTTAATTTTTTCGATGGAAAGTAATACGACTAGATAACATTGTGTTTGTTTGCTAGTCAGATTATTTTGTGTGTGTGTGTGTATTTCAGTGCGAATTGTAAAGGGAAAATTATACTTTTCGTTTAAAGATGGTCAAAAAAGCAAACACTGACAAAAAGAAATCGAAAGTCTATATACCTTACGGACCTGAGGGCAAATTTCTAAATATTCCAATTGTATTCTCTGTTTTTCAAGCATATGGAACACGGCCAGTCTTGCTTTTATTGCTCAGAAATGATAAAAGCTTATGATAAGACTATTCACAAAGAGAAACTCTCATAAGGCTAATTTCATAATTGCTTGGCGTTTGAAGAGCGCTTCCAGAAGGAGTTCAGTGTCATTCAGGAAGATTCTCTTGCGCYGCACCGTGTTTACCTAGGACTAAAACTGTCACATTGAAGTCAGAAAATCATTCCACCAATAGTTTCATAAGTAATTTAGTACCTCGATACACCAGGTTAGCATGCCTTATTACGGAATTGATTCAGGYGGATTTCAAGAAAATGGTTTATTTGTTACCGGATGCATACATGTCCCTTTCATGAAGTGCACACGTCTCTTAAACCAATGTTAGCATTAAGAGAGATGTAAAACCGTAGTAAAATAACCCATTTCGTCTGAAAGACGCCAGGCACTGTCAGTGGTCCATGGACCAAGACTAGAGAACTTAGTTTAATGACTTACTTGAACAAGTGAAAAACATCTGTGACGTAATCATCTTTAAATGGACAACCTCCGCCCCTTATACACTACTCTCGAGTCGATTTAATTTAACTCGTAAAACGATGGCCATCACATGCATTTTCTCGTTCATTAAAGTATGTCAACAAGCGTCCAAAGATTTTTGTCTTTGAAGTTTCAACTCTCAACCTGCACCGACTTTTGCTTCAAAATGAGCGAGGAATTCAGCAGTTCTTCCGTGAGAAAAGAATGACAAAAACCCTTTATAAAGTGTGATTTTTTCGAGGATTTTACTGTTCAAGGTGTTAACAGGCTGTTTGAAGTAATTTATAATGTTTTGGTTTCCTTTTCTTGACAACGTATTCATCGTCCCTTTTTAAATGAACCGCATAGCCAAGGCTATTAGACATTTCTTAATAAAGAGCTGGATGCACAAATGAACAGAAAAATAATACTATTTAACCTGGAATTCAAATGGACTTCCTTAAAGTTCTGTAGATAATTGATTATAATCTTAGAATTTTTGCTCCTAAATGTTTATGTTTTTCTTTTAGATTATAAGGTTCTGTTAATGAGTTATTGTGAGCGGTAAGTAAAAGCAGTTTAGATCCATTCATGATTTGAAGCTCATTTAGAATTCTTTGACATCGGCAAATGTTTTCTTTTTTGTCCAAACTAGAGTCGTGTCTCAAAACCTACAGCGCCTAAAACGAACCCTCCTGTGCATATTCCATCAATCTTCAATAATTGATTTTCTAAGTGCTTTCTCTAGAAGCAAAATCTACAAGATGTTTCCAGCTGTATGCTATCACTCTTTGGTATTCCTTTTAGGAGCTTTCCTCTTTATTGAGGAAACTCAATCTAAGTCTTCGTATATCGCGTTTTGTTCGACTGAGTTGTTCCTTACAGTATCTATTAAAAAATAYGTTCAAAAATTGCCTTATATTGCCTGCCTCGATCGATAGAATAAATGTTACTTTCTTGCAATCAGAGGCAATTTAAATGTAGGCCAATTATTTCCCCTAGAAAAGGCTTTGAAGACTATCTCATGGACTGAATGTCGTATCAGTTGAATTAAGAAAAGAAAAGCTTTGCTGGTTAATTTTGCATCTTTCCTTACACTTCTTTGGTTTTCAATCCATTGTTTTGTTAATTTTCAATGAAAAAAGTTAAAATATTCGTCTTTGACTTGATCGTTCAAATATTCCATAATTATCTATAGAAACCAACCTATATTTTTGAAACTCTTAGCAATATTTTCAATTCCAAAATTGCGTTTTCGATGATAACGTTTAGGACATTTTGATTTTGGTTTCATTATAATGATAATCTTCAGTTCTCTAGAAGACTTTATTACATTAAATAACTTTAAAAGACAATGAGCTTTGATCTATATATTTAAGTTTCTGAAAGAGATGAAGTGATATCTTCATTCAAAGGCAGAAGCTTGTTTGGATTGTGTAAGCTAAATTATTTTGCATATCAAATTTTTGAAAGAGATTTCTTAACTAATATAAAAGAAAGAAAGAAGGAAAGAAGGAAAGAAGGAAAGAAGGAAAGAAGGAAAGAAGGAAAGAAAGAAAGAAAGAAAGATAGGAAGGAAGAAAGAGTGAATGAATGAAAGAAAGAAAGACACTAAGAAACTAAGAAAGAAGAAGAAAAAAAGAAGAAAAAAGAATGAAACCAAACAAAAAACAGACAAAGGTGCTTTAAAAACATCGATTATCAATCATGTTAAATAATATATAATATTATATATGTATTATATCAATAATATTAAATAACATGCATGAATGAAAAGTACATTTCTATCCGGGATATAAAATGGCTGCAACACAAGACTTGCAAAAGGGCGATGCCATATGATTTATTTCCATTTTGCTGCAGCCACGAAGTCTAGCTCTCCAGCAAGCTAAACGAATTCGTTTAGAAAAGATTTAGACCATGAGACTAATTAACTACCAAACAAAAAACGGCTTAGATATCTAAGACACTCTTAGCAACACCCAAAAAAACTTCTATTCATACCTATACAATTGATTCTATATATGAATGCAGACTCATTGTGATATTTCAGTATGGTAGTTGTGTTGTTGGAATAAGGCAGGGAGCATGAGTGTGGCAATGAAAAGTGCGCGATAGATTCTTAGAGTATGCAAATATACCCTGCGTGAAATCAGTCGCGGTGTCGTCGAAAACTAGTGGGTTTTCTGCGTACTTTTAAGTTCTCTACGGTCATCTCTTTATACTTTCATATTACATACACAGTAGGCAGTAAAGTTGAGGGCTTGTCAATGTCTATATCTTTCCTTCTTTCGCCGCATGAAAAAGGCTTGAATACTGTTAGGATTATCAATAAAATACACCATATACAACCGACTCAACCATTACAAGGTAGTCGTACCCCAACTGTGTGTCTCGCATACGAAAATCCTCAATCGTGGATCGAAAATCATGGTTGGAGAACTTTTTCCACAAAAGTGTACTCGCTTCAGTGTTTGACATGTGTGCGTAACTGAAAAAAAAAAAAAAGGCTTGTGGAAGAGCTGCTGACGCTGTTGCTAACTTAGAAATCCCACCATGAGGAAAAAGTACGAAGATTCGCGGAAAAGGAAAGCGTTTTACGCGGGTGAGTTAGAAACGTAGAAATGTGGAGTTTTTTCAAGTGAGCCATTGATGGCATATTCCAACGAGATTCAAATACATGCATCATATGTTTGAAACTTTCCTTGTCAAATATTATTTCAAGGGAACTTTTAAAACAAACATGATTCTTCATAGAGTTATCCGCTTATATGCTTTCGTTATTTGTTCGTTTTTCAAGCTTTTTTKGGGGATGGTACTTCGGTTAAAAGCTGAAGAAATGCAAATAGATAGGCAAATGTTTAGATAAACTTAGTGACTTTGTGAGGCTCATCTCGTATGCAAATTCTTAGTGAAAGCTGTACTACGAAAAACTTACATCTTTTCCAAACATTTTTAGACATTTAAAAAGCGTTGCGAAAAACTAACAATGAAGTAGACTTAGATTCTTCTTAAGGAATATTTTTGAGCATTTTTCAAGGATAAGAATTGACAAGCTGGTTGGGCCTTGCTTGTTTCGTTCCAATATCAATCGAAAAGTAATATATTCCTATTGACTTAGTAAATTCTATTTTTGAACGACTTGTGGTTTTTAGCAAAACAAACATGAAGATGTACGTTGTATATCGTTTTTCTACGAACTTCCGCTATCGTCTTCAGCCACAACTTATTTGGTTCAGTAAAATACGAGAAAACTCAAAAATTAAAAATGCCTGTCTTCTTAAATATATCAATCAAGAACCTACTTTTGAATTATTGATAAACTGAGAGCGAATCTTTTTTGCGAAAAAACCTTTATTTGCCTTTTGAAACTTTGAAAATTTATTTAAGATAAGCATTATAGCAGAAAAGGCTAAGAAAAAAGGTGTAAATTTTTGGACTTTTTTGTAGAATTATATTCGAATATTCGACAAAAAGTCAAAACATGAACTTCCAATTTAAATAAAATCATATACCTTTAGAGTTAATGAAATTATCACGATGAAAAAAGACAGTTTTTTTCTTTCATGTCATTAAAAAGTGACAAGAAAAAATACCTTTTCTTTACATTTTTAAGAATCGTGCATTTTTAAACTTTTACTCGTTTTGTTTTTGTTCCTTGTCCTCTACCTTCCTGGAGACTTTGTCCATTATTTCCGGAGCTTAAAATATTACTTAACAAAATAGTTTTTTATGAACTTTTGTTTGCAATTATGTGTTTTGGCTTTGCTAGTTTGGACTGCGTTTCCTCTGAGATAAAAACGATTCAAGTTATCCTTCAGTTTTTCTTATTCGAAGACTTTTTTTGTACACAAGTGAAGAATTCTCAGTTTATCGCAGATATTGACCCTTTAAATAAAGTGTAAAGACGTATTCACTAAAATTAAATATGGGAAAACTTAGGGTCGGCTAATTGACAATAAAGATATAGTTTACTGATGTTTCATTATCTGTTTTTCACACGATTTTCAAGAGCTTATCTTACTAGAATCCGATCCCTTATCGTACCAGTGCTTCAGACTTCATCAAAAGTGCTTAAACAGCTCACTAAGGATATTTATCAGTGAATTGAGACAACTTGTTCAGCAAGCAGGGACGAGTCTTTAACAGATGTCGAATTTCTTATCAGTCGTGCAACGGTTAAACGAAGAGATTGTAATTCCCAGATCTGTAGACAAATCTTATCTGGAATCATTTAGTCATCTTAAACTCTCGAAGTCTGTATTTTTCTTTAAACTTCTTACTTAAATATTTATACAAATACCTTGGAATCCAAAATACTGCAAGGATTAAAAAATATTCAAGTGGTATTCAAGTATATTGAAGATGTCCTGGACCTAGACAAAATATTTGTATAATCTTTCAATGATGGCAAAAAAAGTTTCACTTTATTTGAAGGCTAAATTCAATCGCAGATAAGAAATAATTGTTTCCTATAACTTGACGAAGCGGGAAATTTTGTCTTATTTTGGGGGCAAGAAAGGGTATTTGTCTCACGAGTCACGAACTTCGGAAAGGGATGTTTTGAAGTTGAAAAACCGTTCATTTGAATCAGATAAAACACGAATTCGTTTTTAAAATTCCCTTGAATTTCAGTCGACTAGAATCCCATAAAAAATAACTTGAAAAATAGGATTCTTCATCGTGAAACCCGCTGATAAAAAACACTGGAAAACTTCAGTACCGAAGAGTTGATGCTTTCTTACGAAAGAAATTAAAAAATTTTTGATTCTATAATCTATAAATTAAACTATATGTTTTCATACCGATAGCTTAAATTTTATTGCTCATTTTGTTAGTATCCTGTAAACATCTAGGATTAAATCTTGTTTCACTGGTCCTTGTTGAAATTTTGTTTTTAAATTCGGCTTTTATTTCACGGACGTATTGATTAGTTTCTTCGCTGCCATAGTTCTTCTTTTTGCAGAAATATGAATTGCCTAAGTTGGGCTTTCTTTATTATTCTTTCTGGATATTTGAAAGAGAAAATTAGAGCAAATGCAGCAGTATTCTTTCAGTTGATCTTATGTTGTAAACTACTGCCTTCAGAATGATTACTTTAGAAATTGAAGCTTAAGAATTGCTATCCGATAAATGTAGATAGTTTGAAAGATAAATCGTATAGAGAATGAGAAGTAAGATCTTCAATTTCACGGGTTATTGTTCTGTAACTTATAATGCGTGATCTAGCCAGGGAATTGTCAAAGTCTACACTCTTGGATTCGCTAATATGAATAACAAAAAGAGTTCTTTTTGTGTATTTCTTCATCAATTRAAGGCTCTTTTTTCATTTTTTTTATCACTGTAGGTGGGATAAATCTATGGCAATAACAGGATAAGGTACATCGTGAGGAAATGAAAAATTTGTATACAAGAGAGAAAAAGAAAGAGCTGAGTCACACAGAAAGCTATTATTAAAAGTCTTTCAATAATCTAAGGAGAATTTTTAGTACTTCCATGCAGCGTTGGGCCATGTCATGAACATCTTTTTTGATTCGAAGTGGAGGTGGGAGAGTACAGAGTTTGATAACAATGAATTGTGTCCCCCCAAAAAAACACTACGAATACAATATATCTACATGTCAAAACATTATACTTTTTTTCTATTTATATATTTCTTTCCAATTCTCCCGCTTGGCAAGCAAGGACACAACTGCTTCGAATACAAAGATCGTCTCATAAAAGAAACTTTAGATTTCCAATTCGTTACTGCTCTTATACTATTTCCATCCCACTTAGTAGCTTAGCAAGAGCCCAAACAATGACATTTAACACTTGCACTGTTCATAGAAATGCTCTCTCACAGGTCTTTTTTCCTAATATGAATTCCATACACTCACGCATAAAAAAAATCGCTCAAAGACAGCAGGTCATTTTAAAAGTTTTTAGCGCATTTGACTGCTAAAGCACGGCCAATTATTTTGGTATTTCGGCCCGGAGTATGTATTAGCGGCTATCGAGGACAGCTGAAAATTGAAACAGGTCTGAAGACATCGCAGGTGAGACTAGATATTAGGGCTTAACTATAATGCAATGACTCAGTTTCTCTATGTAAAAAATCTATCAGAAAAATACTGCCTCGGGGCCGGAAACCGAATCATCTACTACAGGGTTTGCTCTCACTCTTAGCATCATTTTATCCAGGTGATTGGGGTCAGTCTAGCCGCAAATTTTTCATGCATTTTTCGCCATTTAAAGTAAAATTTCCTTTCTTTGACCTATGGTCATATGTTCGCTATCACTTCAAAGTCTCTTTTTGGTAAATTCGGGGTCTTTTATTTCAGCGTTTGTAAAAATCACAATAGAATCTTTTCTATTTTTTTAATGTTATATGAGAAGTTTTGTGAGTTTAATTTCATTGCCCGAGGAAATTCGAACCATTCGACGATTGCCGGCGAAACAAAAGTTTTGGTCCAAAAAGGCAAACGTTCGTTGGTTCATAGAATAGTTTGGCTTCAAAGGGGTTGAACGAGAATTGTTCTGAGATATTTTCATAAGAAAGAGGTCCTTAAGTCACAAAACAATACGTAATCGCTGTGGTGGCGTAGGATAGTAATATTGCATAGTGAATCGGAACCTTACAGCGACAAGAAAAAATCCATTTTGAACGATAAAATGCAACACTTTTCCTGAACTAATACCTTTAACACAATGGCAAGGAAACCAATTATGGGCCTAAATTAAACGTGTTTAATTGGAGAGATAAAGCAAGAAATATCTTATGATGTCGGGTTTTCAGCTCTAGGTCCTTTGAAGCTTAACACTTAGATGTAAATACCCCACAAGCGGTAGGATCCCTGTGGTTAGCTTGCATGGCCACAATACCTTACCGTGCTTGAGATTAACAACCCCGCAGCTCTAAGGTTTAGCTCTCAAAGTAAGGTCTAGAATCACACGCAACTTTGACTATTAAGGGTTTTCAGTGGTTGGAATTTCACGAGAGGATCTTAAGGGGCTGGATGTTATCTTCCTATCTCAGGGTGTCTTTTTCACGTATACTTAAGGATAACCGATTTGACACGCTTCTCTCCTGATAAAATCTGCCATCAAGGTCAATGGGCCCCTTCTCACAAAAAAAACTTGACAATCCAATAGCAGAACACTTGTTCAGATCCGCTTATATTTCCATATATCACTTGAGAATCTGCAGGCTTGCTGCGGCTATCGCAATAGTATGGTCACAGCCTCCACATGCAAGCGAAAGCAAAACACTTACATCTCCCGTGGCCATTCTCAATGCTATTGTGTCTCTGAGGGCTACATAATTTCCTCGAAGTAAGATTTCTCTGAATGACACATTTTATTCAATTTTCGTTGCCAATTTAATGTGATCAAGTCTTAATATTGGTCAAAAGAAAAAAATTCGGTCATCATGAGATGTGAATTTTTTTGCAAAGTGTCGTCTCGGATTTTTTGAGTCAAATAAGGGTGAAAGCGACAATTGCTTTAAGCTGTTTAGCGTAGCGTGCTGTGTCTTTCAAACTGAGTTCAACCCCAACTGTCAATCACTATTCAATCACCTGCCAGGACACTGTTGTTAGGATGGTCTTCAAATATCGTCCCCTTATCAGTTACCAAAACTCCCAAGACATCTAGAACCAATTCTACTTCATAAATATGGGCCCCAAAAGATTTTATTGATCGATTTAATAAGTAAGCAGCCCAAATTGCTGAGAAAGATGTCAAAGTTAATAAGAAGACGGATGCCAAATATAGCGTGTATTCCGGGGTGATCAAACAATTAAAAACATCACCATTTCGCAGCAGGGCACAGCTAATCATAATGTCCACGCTGATCAACGGTCTGCGCATGTGCGTGGTGATTGTAGCTCAATCGACTTAAAGGCACCATGCGGCGCATCAACGGCGTAACATATGCCTGCGCACTCAAGGCTCGTTCGTCAGGGAACGTTAATTATAAGGTCTCTAGCCTGTTATTTACACTACAGTAAAACTGATCCATATTCAAAAACCTTATAACAGCTCATATGGACCAGAATCTATGTAAACGTTCGTCGCTCTCGTACGAACCACCATCTCTACAGACTTCTTCCCACGGCTTGAGTACGAGTGTGTTTACGTCAACGGATTACACTGACAGAAGAAGGTCTTCTTCGCCGAATATGAATCACATTTTAGACTCGAGTCATTTATCTTCAATTCGTATCGCCGCGACACATCGCCTTCCTCCAGAGTCTTTGTCATACGACCAGAAAGCAACAGGGATGTCTGGACAGCAGAGCTTGTATCATTCTTTCCCTGCATATCGTCACATGGCAGCCCCGGGATTTGCAGCTCACGAATACATGCACCATCAAGATATGTCGCATTTGACGACTAGTGGAGAACTTAGTTCACATTCTATATCTTTACACCAGTCCATGGGCAGCCCGGGAAACCATCCTCACCGACATAACATGTATACTTCGGCTTCTGGACCGGGTTTGCATCCAAATAATATGGGATACCACCACGGTGTCTCTCACAAAAGTTTAGATGCCGCGGTTCACTATGGTTTTGGACCGACGCACGAGTCCGTTCCACCACACCATGCCATGCCACAAGTTCTCAACTCGACTCTACGATACTCCAGAGGTGCGGATCTTTATCCTAGACCTGATAGATTCTCTCAAGGACTTGGGAATCCCTTTGTGGATCATCCACCACCCGGTTACCCAAGCCCAACAGCTCCCAGCATGTATCTACCACTAGTTAAGCAGCCAACAAACCAAATCTTTACGTGCCTATGGATAGATCAGTCGCCCCCAACTGGAAAACGAAAGCCATGTGGAAAACAGTACACGATGATGCAAGACATTGTCAGTCATATCTCGGATGAACACGTTTGTGCAAATGATTCCAATTTGCACGTTTGCTACTGGCAAGACTGCGTCAGAAATGGCTTGCCTTTCAAGGCCAAGTACAAGCTTGTCAACCACATACGAGTACATACCGGAGAAAAGCCATTCCCTTGCCCCTTTCACGGTTGTGGAAAACTATTTGCTCGCTCGGAAAACTTGAAAATACACAAAAGAACTCATACTGGAGAAAAGCCTTTCATTTGCGAGTTTYCCGGYTGTGATCGGCGGTTTGCAAACTCGAGCGATCGCAAAAAACACTCTCACGTTCACACATCGGACAAGCCTTATATCTGCAAGGTAGATGGTTGTAATAAAAGCTACACTCACCCGAGTTCGTTGAGAAAACACATGAAACTTCACGAATCTGGCGGCGTCAGAGACCTTTCTCCCTCTCTAACACAGACCAATGGACAAATAGACTCGATTTCTAGCCGAGACTCCACTCGATCTCCACCAACTCCGCGCGCTGTCAAAGAGAAAAGCCAGTCAGAATGGTATTCATGCTGAATGATTGTCAATCTTCAAGCGGCTATCACAGTAGTAAAATCTCTTCAACAGGACCCAAGTCTACGGCTTTCCTTAAATTATTTAATAAACTTTGGCTCCTCGGAGTCTAGCAAGAAAATAACGCAACGCTTTTAGGTGCTTCACAATGGTATAACAAATCTAGAACGAAGTGGAAGAAAGAAGGACAGAAAAGAATGACCGCTCTCAAATCATCAACTTTTGATAAGTATTTTTGATTTGATTTTGAACATCCTGCCAAATATGCAGACGTTAAAAACGTTGTACATAAARAACTACTTGTTAAATCTATATTGACACGTAAACTTTATGAAACGACTGCCAATAGCATAGAAAAATATGTAGATATGTATTCTAACTTTTAAAATTATTTCAATGTATAGAAAAATTGCAAGAGGAAAGAGTGTAAATATACAGAACTGAAAAGTTGTGAAAACTTGAAAAGTTCATGAAAAAGATTATCAAACTCGCTACCCAAAATGTATCTGTTGAAATTATAGAAATTTTGTGCTACAAGATCATTAAAGTATTTAGTTCAAAAACAGTTTTTTAAGAGAGTCATAAGTTTATTCAGCTATGTAGATTTGGGTCAAAACTCTCTGAACAAATCCGCAGAACTCTCAATTTAAAAATTTAAACAATATGTGGAATTATGTTGTGAAGGTAAAGATCGATTCGTTTTTTCAAAAAAATTATGCCTTTGGGCTATGAGCTAATACATGTTATTTTAGCTCAGTCATAGGTCCAAATCAATTTTAATTCGACATATAGGATTGGAGAGCCGAGCCAAACTGAATAACAAGCATTGAAAATAGCGGCGAGTTGCTATGAGCTTGTTTCAAACTCGCCAAAATAAGCTAATTCTTTTCAAAACTTGTATTGTGCTTTCAAGAATTGAGGTAAAAACTGTATTCAAATGTTATGGAAATTTAAAGTTTTAGACCGGCTAACAGTCGACCGAGCACAGCTGTTCCTACGGCGTTTGTAAAATCGATAAGTGAATGGGTGGTTTTCTGACAAAGAAGCTAGAATATAAACAAACAGTACGGTGTTTTCATTGCTTGAAATTCTACGACTCCGAAAGAGTTCTAGAATAAGCGCTTAATATATAAATGACCTAATTTTTTTAGTCCTGTTTACAAAATTTGAAAACCGAATTCTTCGGTGAAAGCCTTAACTTTTAGTTTCTTCGCCAAACCGTTTTTTGGGAGTAACTAAACATATTATGAACAATTAGAAAGAGTGTTAATTTTGAAAATAATATTACTCGTTTTCTAATCTCAAAGTGTGTTTCCTTTGGAAGCATTAAACGCCATATTAGTACATAGATACGGGTATGGTTGTGACGGGAAGTTCTATGTTTTGGTTGAGAATTACTTTGAAATCTTTCGGGGAGCCGTTTAATAGTGTTGGTCAAAGAAATCCGAGTTTGTGTTCACAAATCAGTTTTCATGGCCATTTAGAGACGCACTTAACGCCATAAAAGATATGTTATTTACAGCTGAGAATTTGAATCTAGAGAAATATGAATAAAAGTTTATAAAGAAAGGAATATTACTGAGAAAAGCTGCAGAAGGATGAAGAATGAAAAGACACAGGAAAGAGGGAACTGAGATAATTGGAAATAGATAAAGAACGGAGAGACATGAAAAAGAAGAGATAGAAAATGTAGGTAAATTTGTATGGATAAAATCAGGCAGTCAGAAAATAGAAGAAAGGAATCAGAGAAGACGAAAGACACATCGGAATCGGAAAGAGAGAAAATTAAAAAAGAAGACGAATAACTGATTAATAAGGAGAAGAAGAAGGAGAAGAAGAAGAAAAAGAAAAAGAAGAAGAAGAAGAAGAAGAAGAAGANAAGAAGAAGAAGAAGAAGAAGAAGAAGAAGAAGAAGAAGAAGAAGAAGAAGGAGAAGAAGGAGAAGAAGGAGAACAAGAACAAGAAGAAGAAGCAGAAGAAAAGGAATGAGAAGAAGAAGACGAAGAAAAAGACAAAATAATAGAAGGAAGAAGAAGACGAAGAAAAAGCCCTAGAGATAAAGAAGAAAAAGCAAAGAAGAACAAAACAAAACAAGACTAGTTCTGAAGAACAAGAAAAACAAATAATAATAATTAAAAAATATATATATATCAAGAACAGAAACTGAACAAGAAATACATTAATCTAGGAAGTGCATCTCGTGGAGTTCTGGCAAGCTTTTCATTTATTAAACTGTCAATGATGATAAACCAGTTCTCTAACATAAGGTAAAAGCTCTCAGCGGTAACACTGATCACGAACTGGTTTGACCTCCCCGACGCCGCTCCACTGTCAGCGGTCAACCAATTCAACTGTGCAAAAGACGACATTCAAATAGTAGATTTGGGAGGACATCTACGACCATTAATGTTCTGATCATGGTTCTCTGAACTGGTTGTTAAAAGTTTGAAGAACTTAGGGTATTAGCCAAGGGTCATTCTTCATGTTCTTTACAATAGAATAATAGCTTTAGAATCATCACTAGACTGTTAATATAAGGCTGACGTTAATAAATGTCCCTACTTCTGCTAATAATAATCCCTCTTGCTCAAATGCCGGACAAACTTATTATGACAAGTTCATGAAAGGTTTATATGAATAGACTTGGCTTATCTGCTTATCTAGACTCATCCCAACTAAACAAGTCCATTGTTTAACTCTCTACTTTGAAGTCGAATCTGTCAACACTACACTTGTGTTAAGTGTGAGCAATTCAACATATGTATAACAGCCGTGGAAGGGAATTTTCATCGCTGGTCTCTTGATGTGAGGGCAGATAAAACCATTACCATCGATCAGATATGGTCTAATCTAGGACATCTATACAATATCTGTTACCTTTCCTACTCTACTCGAATGCTTAATTTGATCCATACTGTAGAATAAAAAAATCATATTTCCTAGTTTTTAAAGAGTGTTTTCTTGGTTGTAGCATGCATCCTTAAAATCATTATGAACTATTCTTCAAACTATACTACCATATGTTTACTCAAAGAACGCATAGAATACTCAAACATTCGCTTTTTCCTTTATTTAGGGAATTAGTTACATTAAAGCTCATTGATTATCCAGACCGTGAGCTCCATGAATGTAATTTTAGGCAGGTAAACTGAAAAAGTATTTTGTCGCACGGATTTTTTTATTTTATTTTTAAATATTTTGCTTTCTGCCAATTCAAACTGCTGCTGGTGAAAATTAGAGTACGTTTAATTTTGCTTAGTATTTGTGACCTATATGGTTTTGGATTCTGAGATTGATTCTCTTTCCTAAATTAGCCATAAAATTTGAATAGATATAGACGCCTTACTGTGATACTACAAAAGTTAATCAAAACTTCRAGTGGGAATACAATTTCGATTCAATGGATCCTAACACCAACTTGGTTCGACTTGACCGGCTTTCTATTTTTTCATTAGAATAGATGATTGACGCCCAACTACCAAGGTATTGTACTCCAGATTCAAAACATTGATAAGGAAACCATTGGGGCTGATCCGAAATGTGTCGATGGGGATGTAATTAGTACATTTTGTTCCACAGCACACTGAAATTGGGGGTCAATTTTTGTTGGAGTGAGAACTATGAAGGACCCCTGGACTAAAACCAATAATGCAAGGAAAGAAGTTTGTTATTATCTCAATAGTGTTAGAATAAACAAAGCGTTAATCAGTTCTCTGTAGGATTCTGAGGTTTTTTTAACAAAGACTACTATAGATCTCATGCCTTGATTCTCTCTCTCCCTCTTTCGATATATATATATATATACTAAAATCAATTTAAAATATTTTTCAAAGAGTGCTCAACATTGCAGGAGCATTACATAATATATATATATATATATATATATATATACACTACTATACTAATTGATTATTATCATATATATATATATACACATATACTTCTTTTCGTCGTCTTCTTCTTTTTCTTCTCTCTCTCTCTCTCTCTCTCTCTCTCTCTCTCTCTCTNTCTCTCTCTCTCTCTCTCTCTCTCTCTCTCTCTCTCTCTCTCTCTCTCTGTATTTATATATATAATTCTCATGATTTATTTTCTCTCTCCTTCTTCTTTTTGTCTTCTTCTTCTTCTTCTCCTCTCTCTCTCAATAACCATTATAGGAGAACTAAGGGAGCGGATGGACTATAGCTGCATGAATGTCAAAGCTAAATTCCTTAAGTACAAACTGTCTTGGAGGCAATTCCCAGCATGTTGTCCAATAACAGGTCGTTCATGCCTGTAGTTATTGATTTGTGTTACGATATGAATTAGAACGTCAACAGCCAAGGAAATTTTCACTTTAACTAGATTTCTGTTAGGGGGCYATTGAAGCTATAACAGATAATGAATCCATTCGTTAATAATATGAATTTGTTATAGCACGAGTATGACACCAAGAATTAATTATATTCCTTCATTTTACTCTTTATTTCTCGTTCTTTATTTATTTATTTATTCATGTGTTTACTTTTATCTTCAGCTGAACGCGTTTCTATTAATATTCACCGTCGCAGTTTCAATTATTAGCCAAAAACATTCTAGAGCGAATTTGCTGAATAGGCGGAATTCCTTACTAAGGTCATTAGTCTCTACAGTAAGTTATTTCCGATTTTTCCGGACCTCATAAATGATGCGTTCAGTATTTTTACGCCTTCCTTCTTAAAAACATCCTACTTGAAACACTCTTTCGGATTTGCAATTGCCTCTTATTTTCGTTCTTCAAATAAACTCTCAAATGCAAGCCCTAACCTTGCATGATTTTGTCCCAATTTGTTTATTTATTTCTAGATCTGAACACAAATAATCAATCCATGCCAAAGATTTGTTATTTTTATTTACTTCCTACGATATGAAGCTCAAGAAAACTTTGTCTCTAGATTGCGAAATATGGTATATAAATATATATATATACATGATATATTTTAATGTTTAAAACACAACACAATGCATCACGTTTCCATGATCAAGACAAAAACTAACAGTAATTTGTGAGAAAACATTCAAAATAGCAACTACTTCTTGGTTGTCAGGGCAAACTGCTTGGCGTTGCGTGCGTTGATGATCCAACAGACTTTGAATCAATAAGAATTTCCGGATTTGTTTTGAGGAACGTGTTTATAGTTAAGAACGAGCTCAGTCTTGGACATTGTTATAGCGCAAAGTTTTGAGACGCAGGGGTCTTTGTTCAACAGAATAGTGCTCCAAGAATGTCAAATACGTGTTTATAATTCTTTTAGAAAACATAAAGCAATTTGCAATGAACAGAATGGAACTAATGAGAGAAAAAAGTTGGAGAGGAGGTTAACTCACGCGAAAGATAATATTTTAAAACTGTAACTTTCCAAACGTGTTTCCTTTTTTTTTTTTTTTTTTTGCATGTTTGTACCTCATAGGAATTCCGAATGTCATCTTTAAATTGAGTAGAAAAAATATATGAAACAGATAAGCATAGCGTGACTTTAAGAAATAGAAGGACAAGGACAAGGACGAGGACAAGGAAAATACTTTAATTGATTTATACAGTTTAGGCACGAAAAACATGATCAAACAGATATACTGAAAATCCTCATCTCCAGCTAATTTCAGCATCTTACGCCATATACATCTTTAGCAATATTTAGCCGGATATTTTCTCTTGAATCGTAGCAAGATTGTATTCGTGATGTTCATATTTTGAATTTAAACTTCCAAACTCAATAAGTTTATTTATTGTCCCACTGTAATTACATGGAGCAGGCGCTACAGGTACTCTATTGTACAATACCGATTCAATGATAGAGGTGGCGATTCTTAATTGTTTGTTGACAACTGCGTAAGTAATGTCTCACTTTAATCTATTATAGGACTAAAAATACTAAAATTCGAATTCAGTTTTTACTTCAAAAGCCATCAAAGCAAAAATTCAAGTATAAGAACGTTTTGGAGTTTTTTTTTTTTTACTATGACTGTCAAAAAGTATATATAGGTTAAGTCTATTCTAAGTAATTAAGCCAATTCTAGGAGAAGAATCATGGAGTTGCAGGAAAGCAAGAAAGTATTTGAGGGTTTGATATGTGGGTGCCTTCGAGGCGAAACACGAGCGAGAGCAAAGCTCAGCAGTCAATATTTAAGCGTCAATTGATATAAGCCTTTTTTCCGTTAAGTTTGTATTTGCCTACCCTGGGATCCAGCGGTTTTATTTCGCCTCCTGTGGATGTAACGAGCGAGCGCCTAGCGACATGCCGTCAAAACAGCAAACGAGAAGCGAGAATAAAATAATCTGTGGTCCCCAGGGTAGGACGGTCAGAATAATAAATGTTTGTAGCCATAAGGTATTTTCCTTAGAAAATAAATTCAGCCGAATTCTAATTTGTTAAATTCAATTCGGTTTTTTGATAAAGCATAGCTTAAAGTTTATGGTTATAAAACTTTGCCTCCATTCATTTTGATTGGAAATACATCCGAGCTTACGCACTAGGCACCCAGGGACCAAATTGCAAAACCCATAATGTCAACTAACGGCGTAGAAAGTGTCTTTACTCTATGGGTCTGAAAGAATTGCCAGCAATATCATAAAACCAAATTAACCCATACAAAACGATTTTAGGCTGATATATTTATAGATATTGCCTTATACACCTACTTGCAAGAACGTTGTCATACGAAAATAGAACATTAGTGATTTAGTGGGATAGGAATTATATTAAAAAACAAAAGAAGATCACTGAAGCTGAACTTTTTCTTTTGTCTTTCGATATATTCCTTTCTCACTAAATTAGGTTCTAATATCGTATGACAACGTTCTTGCAGGTAGGTGTATGTCTTATGCAGATAAAATAAGCTTATTTTGGGTCACGTGCGAGCAGAACATTCCTTCTTCGTTTAATAGACTCTGGAGATTAAGATTCAGCTTTTCTTTCAGCCAATTATATTAAGTAGTTTTAGATCTTATTGCATTTTTTGTATGGGTATGGTTCGAACCATCGACACAGCTCATCTTACAGCTTTACGCTTCGGTTTAAAGTGGCATAATCGGCTGTATAAAGCCATCCTTTACAGACCAGAGCTAAAGCAGTCATAAATGTTTCTTAAATTCTTATTTTGATATTTACGTTGGGTTTACGCTAACATCAAAATGAGCATAAAGCTTCCTTTTAAAATTGCCACTTAAACATCGCGTAAACCTTCAAAATACTGGATTCTTTTTAAAGCAGAAGGCTCTCCTTCGTACTACGTGTGTTAAGTTATTCTGTAAGAAAAAGAATGACTCTCTCATCAAGCGAACCACCCTTAGCGATGCAAATGAATAAAAAATGGTTAAATGAAGATTGCTGTTAAGTGCTCTTTGGACGATAATTCTAAAACTATAGTTGGCTATTACTGTACTTTTAACTGCACTACTGTAGTATCTAATGTTGAAATGTCTGATTTCTTAACAGCTACCTCACTCTACTTCAGTATCCAAACTCAAGAAGAGAACTATAGAAAAGCAAAAACAGAAGAAATCCCAAGATCTTTCTTATCATCAAATTCACACTAGATACCTCTTGTTGTCTGGATCGTTTTAACATCGACAAAGGATCCTCGCTAGTTGCCTAAGTCTAAGAAAGCTTACAAATATAAACATTACCGTAGCTTTTTATGTAATCTCAGTGCTTTCAATTGTACATGGTCTGTTAGAGTTGTAGTTACAGCATGTTGTCTATTATTGTGGAATAAGCGGTCACACTTGATATCGTTGAAGCCTTTGGTGCTATATATTTCAGACAACGAGAAGAAGGAAGAGGGAGAGGAGGAGGATGGGGATAAAGAAATGAAGGAAGATGAAACAGAAACAGAAACAGAAATAAAAGAGAGAAGCAAGAAAGGAAGGAAGGAAGGAAGGAAGGAAGG